ATATAACTTTAAAATATGTTTACTTTCTCACATTAACAAATATTGACACCATAACAATACTTCCACAGATATTATACCGGGATTTAAGCAATGAGTTGTCACTCTTTTTTTTAAGAAGATACTCTAAGAAAAAAAAGATTCGAAACACTAGTTTAAATGCCTTCCTCTACAGAGATTATACAAAAAACAGTAGCAAAAGCTCTAGAAATCTTCAAACACTTGAACATCTCTTATGTACTTCAGGTCAGCAAAAGATTCAGCATTCAAACCAAGATGTATACAGTATAATTATAGGTGTTGGTAGAGGTTGGAAAAATGACAAATCAGTTAAAGAAATATCCAAACTTTAAAGTTAAAAATTGGGTTTTTTTTCTGACTTGAACAAAACAAAACATTAATCTAAGAGAAAAAAAAAATTAGCTGATGCTGTAGTAGGATCCCTCTCAATTACCAGTTTGACACTTCATAGTAATTGAAATAAAGAAGAAAATTATGAAGAAACAGTAAATCAGATGAAGAAACAATTTGACTGATAGGAATCATCAGCGAACCTTTCTAATAGATATATATTAAGTTGGAAGCTGCAGCAGCCGTCGATGCCGAACTTTCTTTATCCTCTTATCACGATCCCCTTTCCTTGCATAAATCACAAGCACGACAACGTTGCAGGCGAACACAAAACACTCGAGAAAACCGGGCTAGAGATCAAGAGGAAATGGCAAAAATGAAAAGTTAGGGCTTACTCAAGTTAAGGCCATAAAGTTCTCAGAGCAAGGAGCTCTCTGGCACCGGATTTAGACCAGGAATTAACCTGGATTTAGGCTAAATCTTGCCAGTCGGTCAGTTTGGATAAAATAAAACCGTGACTTTGATAAATCCGGATTTCACAGATTTCGGCCGTAAATTCCGGATTCTCTGAATCTTGCTGTTGAGACAATGGCGCGAACAGGCCTACCTGGATGGGAGTTTCGGTAGTCTCCGAGGGTTCAGTCACGAAGGCTATGGTTTTGGCGGAAACCGGGAGAGACAGAGGGACATAGGGGAGGGTTTCGGTTATGTGTGGCTAAAAAAATTATTAAAGTGAAATTCTCCTTGTGCAATAAGGGCAATAATCCCAAAATAATTTTAAAATAATTTCTATGATTTTATTTTAATAATCCGAAAATAACACCGCAGAGTATATTTTTGGGTTATTTTGGAATTATTGAATTGAAACTCATATATTCCACTTCAATAATCGCGAAATAACTCATAAATAACCCTGAAATAACATTTGTAGTGTTATTAGGGATTATTGAAGTAGAACCGCGAATGTAATTTCGGATTATTGAATTGGAATATAAATATTTCTCTTCAATAACCCTGAAATAACATCCACGGTTTCACTTCAATAACCCTAAAATAACATTCGCGATGCAGCACACTTGGGGGCACATTATTGGAGTCTGCACAAATAGCTACGTCCAGAGTTCGAACAAAAAATTTTTTTGTGACGGAGAGGGTTAGTAGTGTAGGTGAGGTTTTTGGATTGTGGTAATAATTCAACTTTATCTAAGTTAAATCTTATTAATTTAATTGATTATAAAACAATAATTAATTAATGGGTTATCAGATTAATTATACCTAGATTGATAAAAATATATACATAAAAATTTCAATTATTTAATAAAAGAGGGTTTACATGCACATTAGTGAAAACTTCTACTATTATGTATTTAACACCTAAAAACTTAATATTACGTCTGTACCACGCTAAAATTTGTTGTTAAATGTGTATCCCACTCCCTCATTGTTCTCGACAATGTTCGCTCTATCCCTCGTTAAACCTCACGGAAAGTTAGAAAAAGCTTCCAAAGGCTTCATCTAGATGGAATCCTCTGACAAGATTCATCCGACACCACAAGTTTTTTATAAAGACTCGTCTTTAGATCTGTTCAAACAAATTTGAACTAATATAAAATCAACATAGACTTAAATGACTAAAGGTTAGTAGGGTTTGACTTCTCATATGAGAACAAAAGCATACTTAACCTAAATAGGAAACAATTTGGGCTAAAGTACCAACCAAGCTAATTGAAATGACATAAAATTCATCCTAAAAGACATTAAATTTATTCTTGCACAAAAAAAAATTCAACTTGGTTAGAGATTATATTTTGGAGGAGGCAACCCATGATAATTAGCAAAATATATTCCAGTCATTTGTGACTAATCAACTTGCAAACCCCAACGACCTTAGGACGACGGAACCATAGGATCTTGACCGGGTCATCCCAAATAATAAAGATAAAATGACAAAAAAATAATCAAATAATAAGTCTTAAGCAAAATAAAATTTTCAACCATTTAAATTCAAAAAAGACATTAAAACTTAAATGAAACCTTAATGAACAAAGATCACCTAACACAACTTGAACCTCAGATGCCCAAATCTATGAAGATTTCTTGGACAACACAATTTGTGTTTGCTAACAAGAATCTTATGGTCAGAGCAAGTTTGACAACCTCTTAGACTAAAAAAACCAGGATACCCGATGACCCTGGGGTGATGGAGTCAAGCACATCTTGATCGGGTTATCCAAAATTTAAATAATTATCAAACAAACTAAATTAATGAACAAAAACGTAAATTTCTACTAACTTTGTTTTGCAGGGTTGCTGATGACGAAAGGCGATGATACCCTAGATTTACTATACATGTTATTAGAGTATGTTAACTCTGTTTTGCAGGGACCATTCAAGACCCGAAGCAAAAAGATGAACTTCAACTAAACCATTAATAACAAAATAAAAAACTTTACGATAGGACTTTGACATTCTTTTCCTTGACAATGATGCTTGAACTTTGTGAGAACAAATTTTAATCTCAATTGAGAGTTTTTTTTAATAGTATTGACTACTTAAGATGCAATTAACTATGGGGACATGTCCTTATGAAAGGATGTGAACCTTAAAACAGGTACATCAACCTAAATTCTCTAGTTGTTAGCTTTCATTAGGTTTCTTCCGAAGTGGTGTCTTCAAAGCATACTAAAGTGATCTCACTTTAGGTTTATTTTTTGAAGCAATCAATGTGAAAATTTACCTTATACAAGCTTCCCTTACATTTCTTTTGTTTGTTCTCATTATTGCCTACCCCAACCCTCTGATTTCTCACCTCTTTGTTCACCTACGTGATCTGAGATGGATAAGTATTCGGGCAAGAGGGCAACATAACAAAAAACAAACTAGTGACTCGTTAACGACAAGAATGACGTCAACAACCGACAAAATGAAAATCGACGATACGTGATGAGCGGCACCAGCTTTCTCGTTTAAATTTGTTCATTAATAATTTTGAAAATATTTCTTAGAGAGGATTTAATGTTCTGAGTATCGCAAGTAATTTGCGCATACAATTATATTAATTAATTGTTTCTAATTTCCTCTCTCTTTTATGTTGTTGATTCAGCTTTGTCTTAAACCCTAAACCCTAAACCCAATTTGAATGCAAATTACAACTAAATAACCATATGTAAGAATTTCATACCATATTATTTTGGTATTGGGATCCCTTAAGGTCTCTTTAACCTTTTCATCAAATAGCTTTAGAAGTCATTCTATAATTTTTTTTTTCAATTTGCTTAACATCTTTGAATATCACTTTTCAACTTTGAAATACATCTTTGTACTACCTAAAATGAGTTAACATAGGACATCAAAAATTTTGTAAGAAAGTCTTATGTTTTTTATCATTATCCAAAACATTTATTGTAAAATGATTGACAATGAAAATGATTAAATTATATACTGTCGATATTCAAACGTTATAAATCTTTTAATTTACTTTTATTGAGCATGTATTGTTCTTAATAAACGATGTGATAATCTTCCCACAATTTCTTAAGGATTCTAGTAAAGTTGTTTGATTACAATAATAAACTCTTTAACAACTTATGCTTCAATATTGATATTACAAAATGCAATAGTTTCAATGTTCTCAATTTTGTTATATGTGAAATCATAGAAGAGTAAATAGTCTAGATATTACCTCCTTTTTCATATGTCTTCCTTTTATTAATCATAACTATTTTTTTTTTCCTTTAATATATTCCTTAGTAAACCATCTTATAAAACAACTAGAGAGTTTTTCAATTCAAGTTATGGTAACCAAAGTGTTAAAATAAATATTTAAAATTTCAATTATTTATTCTTTTATGATAATGTTATTATGAGAAATTATTCCATACGGATACCGCATGCAGAGATACACCACATGGGTGTCCGATCTCCACCGTTGATCACCACAATCAATTTTTTTTTTTTTAAAAAAAAGTTGAAAGTGGGACCCACTGAAATACATCTTTACGATGATCGACGGTGAAGATCGGACACCGCATGCATCCGTATGGAATAATTTTTCTGTTATTATACCACTATGGATTTTTTATTGCTCAGTTGGAGTTATTCCTATATTATCTTTTCTACATTTACTTTTCATTTAATAATTCATTTAAAACTAAATTTATTTATGATGACAAGATGTAACATTAAATATTTATCCTTTTATATAATATTTACTATTTTAATTGGTGATTCTTGTATTGAAGGATTTGATTCACTAATTGAAGTATTTGGTGGAATTGAAAGTCTAAGGGTACTTATTGTTCTTCTTGGATTAGTTTGTATTTTAACCTTCCTTCAAAATTTTGAATTACTTTATTAATTTTTTTATTTACCATAAGTCTTGGACTTGAAAGGGAGATAGATTTTGTAGTGTTTCTTGTGTTAAATAAATTTTGTTAATGTTAGGACCAAAAAATAAATTATGATTTTAAAATAAAATATAAATTAAAACTATTATTTTCGTACCAGAAAAAAACAAAAACATAACCATGAAATCGAATTTGTAGTTATTTCGAATAAATTAATATCAAATAGAGATAAGCTAAAATTTGGAAATTTATTAAAATATATTGATTTATGATATAGACTAGTTTCAAATACTTCCACGAGGAATTGATCACATTTTGGGCATCCAAAGTCTCTATTACAAATAAGAATTGATGTGTTTATCCCATTAAGAATAAGGAGTATAGAAGTGATTTTTATTAAACCAGCATATATAAATTTGTAACCTTGTGTGTGTGTGTGTATTGTCCTAGGTGCTATGAGCTATGGGTGTGTAGGCATTTTCAATCGATATGACTTAGAATGTTGGTAGAGCAGTCTCCTTGAAGATCGTAAGTCCCCTCTGGTGACGGGTTCGAATACCCCTCGGTCAGTTTGCCGAAATTGAGGGTGGTGCTCGTGTGTGTGCGTGTGCGTGTGCGTGTGCGTGTGCGTGTGTGTGTATATCTATATATATATATATATATATACACACACATATAAGGATATATATATATATATACACACACATATAAGGATATATATATATCTTCATCTCTATATATGTGTGTGTATATAGATATATCCATATATGTGTGTGTATATATATGTATGTATGTATGTATATATATATGTATGTATGTATGTATGTATAAATATGTATATATATGTATGTATGTTAAAATAGATTGTTTGTCCTATCTATAGATATTTTCTCTTTAAAATAAAAAATTCCAATTTTATATGTTAATGCATTTCTATTTGGGAATAAAAAACTGATTTAAATCTTCTTCATTTAGTAGATGCTCAACTAATTCAATATTTTTTTTTATTATTCATTAATATTAAAAATATCAAAATAAAATAGTTAGACTTCGGATTAGTAACCAAGACATGGTGAAGAACTCATTAGAACCAGCTCCACATGAAGAATATTTTGGTATTTACAAGTTGGTTAATGGCTTCCAAGAAGTATCAAAAAATTCTTGAGAAGGATACTTAATTTAAGAGAGATTGCTCTAAGAATGGAACCAAATATATGTTTGAAAAGATGCTGATCATGTGAAGTGGTTCTAAGAAACACACATTTCTAAATTATTCAAGTGCTTTGTGGTGAGTAAGATGCTACAAAATCTACAAGGATGCATCTATTGATTGAAAAGGCATTTGGATGTAACTAAAATCCTAAAAGAGCACATACTCCACTACACATAAGCAATAAAAAAAAGAAAGAATTATAAATTATACTACATGTGTTGATATGCCATTAGAAGTTATATCCATGGACTTTCTACAAGGGTTGTCATTGATTGATTATAATCTTAGTTATTATTTTGTTGAGATGGGTGACTTTTCAATTAGATTATCCTCATGGTGTGTTAAGCAACATATCATGGGAGAAAATTAACATGCCTCTTCAAAAAGAAAAAAAAAACAAACAAAAAAAGAAGTTCGGTTGAAGTTTTTCTTTTTGAGCTCAATCATCTTGAATAAGACACATTCTTCCTTAGCTTTCAATGGAGAGCATTCTAAGCCATGATGGATGCAACACTAAGAAGAAGCACCGCCTTCCATGGATAATTTGATAGTCAAATCGGTGAACATGATTGTGGTGTATAGACTACAAATATTCAACACAAAATTTCTAATGACTTCATATGAAAATTGTCGCATGTCTAGCTCACATTGAGGGCAATTAGTATTGTAAAAATTGAGATTCATTGAATATGTGCCTTATGTATCTGTCTCAAAGTCTAGTTGACCAGAAATTTTTGGGCCACCAAGAGTTAAAAAGAAAACTTTAGCCATCCTAATGATTTCTAAGGAAAGATTCAAAAAATTCACTTTGAGATAGAAACGTCATGGGCAACTTCATAAGAGTTAACATGATTAGCATCGAGAAGTTTGATGAAGGCCTAGGATAATGCCTATCTTAACCTATTGGACTAAACTAAGTATTTCCTCAAATGGTGAATGTGAAAATTTTGAAGCAATCAAACATCCAATGTTAGAAAATGATCAAAAAGCACTCCTACTGATTCCTACCTCCTCTCAATGACTCACTACAAGGTTGAAAAGATTAGCTAAAGGACTAACTTTTGAAGAAAAAATAACCATTTATTGAAGCTTTAATGTGCTATACATAATCAAAAAAGAGGGGGAAATGTCTAAGATAGAGTTGTACTCATGAGAGAAGCAAAAATGTTCCCTCTTTTCCAACTTGATTTATAGAAGTAAATCTCCTCTAAAGAAAGGGTGTGCAGGGTCAAAAGATCAAGTGACTCAATCATGTAGGTACTACTTAAGGTAACAAGGATGCTATGAAAAGACACTTAAGCAGATCTATGATTTTGCCAATAGTTTCCTGAGCTAGGAGCATTATTATTGAGAGAATTCCATGAAAATATAAACAACCTAGAAGGAGGCTTGGGGCAATCCCTTAGAGCCACATGCAAAGTATTTAAAAGTTGATAATCCAAGAGATGCAATGCTCACAAAGGCCAAATTCTAGATATCAAGAGAAAGCTTCCAAAATATGTTTGAGAGATAAGCCAACTTTGAAACAAAAAATGTTATTGATCGTGCAATAGTGATGATAGCTCAACAACGCCAATTATAGGCATCATACCATAATATTTTCTTCTTTAAAGTCATGATAAAAAATGCACAACATAGATTGTGGGTGATATCATATTAAATGTAGCCTATGTTATGACCATAATGCCTTGTTTTGTTAGTATAGGAAAGAGTACAACAACTAGTCAGTACAGAGTTCTCTTCGAGTTTAATAAGAATATTGCTACAACTTAAAATTTAGAACTCTAAGTGATAGTGAAGTGAGTAGCTAAAGAGAGTGAGAGAGAATTTGAGGAAGATCATATTCCACCTTAAATGATTGCTTAAATTTCTTCGTTAATGGACTTGTTTTTTTAGTTTCTTGCTCTACAAAACTCCACAATACACATAGGGTCACTCTATGCTCCGTTCTTAATGCAAGGGATCATGGATCAACTGAGGCATATGGTCGACTTCTCCATTCATTACAAATTTATGAATCTTAGAGATCTTCCCTATTCTACAACTAGGGCCGTCAAAATGACTCGTTGTTCGCGAACAGCTCGTGTTGGAATCTTAGAGATCTTCTCTATTCTACAACTAGGGCCGTCAAAATGGCTCGTTGTTTGCGAACAACTCGTATTCGACTCGTTAAGAAGCTCGTGTTCGACTCGTTCACTAAGTTAATAAGCCGAACACGAACAACACAAACCAAGATTTGTTCGTTTGTGTTCGGCTCGTTTTGACTCGAAATACTACTAATCAATTATATATATACAGAGAGAGAGAAGAATAGTATTTTTAAAAAACTTAATTGTCTAAATGGCTACAAAAATTTATAATCATTTAAAATAATTAATTAAGAAAATATAATAAAAAATACTAATTTACATTCAATTGATATTTTAATATAAATAATAATTTTTAAATTTTGTCTCAATACTTAACATCTTATGACTATGTGATTAGG